AAAACTTAATTTTAGTGTCACGTAGCGCGGGGTGCTGGTCTTGACTTTGTCTTGGGTTCGGTGGTCTTGACTACAACTCTGCTGCGTGGCTTCTCGGTTGCATGTCCTCCCCCACCCACCTTCTTTCCATTCCCTTTCTGTTGGATTTCTTATAGTTTTTTTTGTCACTATAGTGCCAAAAAAACAACAACAAAAAAAGTGAAGTTCATGCTATGTTAGGACAGGAGACAAGATGTTTCCATCCCTTAAATTATGATGCATAGAATCACATATCTAAGTCTAAACTATTTTACAGAGAGTAAACATAATAAAAACGTGCTTTATCCTTGGCATTAATTAAAATGGCACATTTCTAATGTATTAAAATTAAATATGATTCGTACACTTAATGATATTAGCGACTAGGTAATGCATTCAGTAAGTACTTTTAATACTTACGTATTTTTGAAAGCCAGTACTTTTTTACTCTTAAGTAGAAATGTCAATGTGGTAGTTTTACTTTTACTTGAGTACATTTTTGTCAGTGTATTTGTACTTTTACTTAAGTACATTTTGTGAGTACTTTCTCCACCACTGGGCCGCAGTCAGTGGTTTTTGTCACTATGGAGAAAAAGTTAGATGCATTTATGTGTGATGGGATCTGGATTCACGGTTCAACCTGTTGAATATTAACTAAACCGCCTAAAAATGCGGCTAAATAGCCGATGTTAACGTGATTGTAATTTGACGGGTAAAAATACAGCATGACCAATTATTTAAAATCCCGTGCAGCAAAATTTCCCAAGTCTTGACCGGTCTGCGGTAATAAAAAGGTTGGGGACCACTGATGTAAAGCACTTTGGAATGCCTTGTTGCTGAAAGGTGCTATACAAATAAATGCTACAGTAGCATTAGCACTGTGGACTAATGACTTGTACAAAATCAAAGGAACAAAAGTCGACATTGATATTTGACTGCCGTATATTTCTATTTTTCTTTATACATTTACTGCAGTTTACAATAGTTCTGTCACTGATATGCTTATGAAAAAATTGGTTTTTGCCTTGGAGTCAGGGTGGCATTCAATGCCAATTTTTAGCATAGTTATCTGGACTGAGTAAGAAATTCATGCACAGAAAGTTAACTATGATCACGCCATCCTCTCCTTTAAAGATACAAGACCAAGAGAACAAAGCTGTTCTGAAATATGGCTGCAGTCCGACCTCCTCTGAGCGCACTAAGCAGAGCCCACCTCTATTGTCTTTATTTACAACCTTCTTGAAGAAGAGCCCAAAAATGAAAATAATCAGTGAGTGACGGTTATGTGGATAAAATTGGCTTGCAAATAACAAAGGAAAATGGACTGACGGTTTCAAGATGAAAGGGAAGAGAAGCTCACATAACCACTCATTACCATCCTGGTATGCAGAACACAATATCTGAACACAGGGCATGTGGAACTTTGAAGCCGTTGGACTACAGAAGACCACACCAGACATTATTCCAATAGACTATTTCTATCGGGAACCTGCACCGTGTCACAAAGCTTAAATTATCTCTGTCTGGTTTCTTAACATGACAATATGTACGCTGTACTCCAGCCTTTGAGGTAACCAGTTCTTGATGCACTCCAATGCCTCTTGGGATGTGGTGATACGGTGCAGTTGAAAAATCTGTAGCAACTACATGATTTTGTTATCAACCAAAATCTCTCAGGGATTTGTCTTTTCTGACACCTTACAGAAAAATATCTCTCAAATGTTTCTGAAGGCAAAACGGGGGACATCCTGGTAGCAGCAGGGTGTGTCTAATAAAGAGAATCCCCCTTCCAGCACTTATATCTACACACGGTTTGAAAAATTAATAATGTAGTTGATGGCTTTTTTTTTTTTTTTCTTTGCCTAAGTTTTCAGAAGCACCACACTTTTTCCTACACGTTGTTGCAATTCATCTTTAGCGTCACGTATTCTTCATGCTAGGGAAGAGCCTGAGGAATAACAACATTGATCCTTAATCAGAAGTTAAGAAATATGTTTAAGGCAGGAAATTAAAGGAGGACGGATAAGAGACACCGCAGTTAGGCACTACTACTTCCAGCGACAGCACTTATTTATAATGTATGGCATCCTCCAAAGCTCGAGACGTCTGCTTTTGTCTCGCTATCGATTGGGTCTCTCTCCATTCATCTTCCTTACTCCCTCTCAATAAGTTTCATTATCATTCCAGCTCATTCTCTCATCCAACCAGTATTAGCATATCTCTCATAATTTCTTCTGAAATTGAAAGACCACCCCTATGTTTATTTTCTTCACTGGTTTGCCTTTTGTGTTTTTCTTTTCTCACATTTTTCTGCTCATATCTTATCTGTCTATTTAGATCATGTTCCTTTTATGTATGGATTTATTTCACTTCCTCTAGCACTATTTCGGTCTTAGTTTTGTCACTTTCTAGTCTCACACTTTTTGTGCAATTAAACCGAACTCACCTTATAAATGACTTACTGTTGACAAGTAAAATTTCCATAATGGCAGACCTTCTTCTCACATTCGCCCGGGTCTTATTTCTTTTATTCTATTCCACATGCAGCAATATAATTTGATTGTACACTGCATAAAAAGAAAGAAGAGCGCCGAGCAAGACAGAAAGCGGATGATAAAAGGTTTGTGTTAAGCCTTATTGGAGGAGAGAAAACCAAATCTGAAAGGAAATCTAAACTTACCCATGCGTGCACACATCCAATCTACAAAACACCGAGGCACATACAGGTACAACACATCTTCGAGTGAGAACCAGAGGTTATTATGCTTTTGCTGTCATAGCTCATAAATATGCTGCCTGAGGAAATATGACTTTAATAAATCTATATGGACAACTTGTGTGTTAGCTGTGCAGTTGTTTTTCTTTTTCTGTGAAGGTGCTCTAAGTTATTTTGTTCAATAAGACGTTATATTCAATAAATAAGTTATTTAAGCAGAAGAAAAAAAAACACATGTTTAGGTGATTCTTAACCCTTTCATGCAAAGTAGGTCATTTTCAGGAAAATGTGTGTAGGTCTTAATAGCGTGCAGGCAGGTAGACTGGTTTACGTCTATGATCTGACAGTCAACAGTTGTGCACATGATAGACATCTTGTTGCTGCTTCTATATTATTAGTAAAACCTTTCAGTTAAGTACTAGTGTCATTTTTACAATAATATATTGTGTTTCTTCTGTTGGGATTAATCCACATTCATTATTGGATACATGAAAGTGGGCATGCATCACTGGCTATCTTTAAACTGAAAACTTTGCCAATAATGGTGCCTACAGTTTTGTAACCAAATCGTTGTGTCTTGCTAATTAGTTGGCCTGTGTGAGTTATAGTCAGTGTTGGTGTTCAAACTTAATAAAAAAAAAAATAAGAGAATGCATTAAAGTTTCATAACTTATGCGTGCTTCCTGCTTATCTACTTGTCTTCTTGTCATCAAAGATGTTCTGACCTACAACACACTGATATAAGAATTAAAATCTCTGATCGTTTAGTTTCAGAAAATGCAATGTTTTTCCTCCTTATTCCAGGAAGTGCCGGCACACCAGTGATGTTCAATGAGAATGGAGATGCTCCGGGAAGGTACGACATCTTCCAGTACCAGTCTATCAACAATTCCAAGCCAGAGTACAGACTTATCGGCTCATGGACCAACAAACTACATTTGAAGGTAAGGTTGTTTTTTTTTTTTTTTTTTAAGTTTTTTGTACGAACATTAGCAAGCATTCTTGAATTTTTAACCAACCAAGGACACAGGGATAGAATATTCCCATCAGAACCAAATACAGAAAATAAATAAGGTGAAAGTCTGGAAAGTCCTGTAAAAAGGAAACAAGTAAAGTGAAGCTTTATTTACATTACTTAAGGTTATTTTTATTTTATGTACTTTAAGAGCATATGCCATAGTCAAATCATGTTTTCCAAATCTTTTTCAAAAGTATCTGCAAGGAGTCAAAATGATTACTATACACTTTTGACTTAACATTTCTCAAAATAAAAAAATATTACACAAAAAGATACAGTAGGCCATTCGTTGTTTCTAGATTTGATCGCTTTTGTCTTGGCTTGCTAAATGTATTTTTAATGAAACGTTTTTAATTTTCTCCTAAGCTTTGATATGATGCTCCAAAACTTTGTCAACGATATAAAGAAAACTATAATGTCACCTTAATTATGCCTAGTTTTATCATTTGTTTCCAAAGACATACGACCACACATGTAGATAAACTCCAGTGTTCCTACTAACAATGTTTTCATGAGGAGTCATTTTCTCAAGCACTAGGCTAATGTTAGCATGTTTCTCCTGTTTTTACATGCATTGTTGATAATTTAGTTTGTAAGATATGTGGGATTCTAATTTGTCTTATTCAGATTGCAATACCTGGCACACAATACAGAGGAGGTCCTACGACCAACACCGTTTAGGAACCACAGCAGCCAGTACATTCTATTTTTATTTTTAATGTCATTGTGAAAGGTCTGAACCAAACTTAGATTTTGGAATAGATTGAACAAAGTTTTTTTTTTTTTTCTTGCATGTCTGAATTTATTTATTTGGATATTTATGGGGAACATTTTTTTTCCAAGAGTCCCCACAGCTACAGTAAGAGTTGACATTAAAGCTATTAAACCCATCATTCGATCCACCGCAATGGCTGAAGCTCTGACTAGCACTCATTTCTTTACACCCTTCAGTCATTTATTTACACCCTGCAAACCAATGCATAAGCACAAAGTGAGAAGTATATTTTTAAAGAAATCAGTGAAATGAATATTGCTAAAACTTTCAAGTTTGTTGCACCGAATCTTCACACTGCATGCATTCACACCCAAACTGCATCACGTTTGGCATCCGTGGGGGAAAATAAAAACATGCAGTGCGAAATCATCTTCTTAAAAATCCTACAAACTGAGCATGGCACACTTTCCATGTAGATGTGTCTCTGGCTTGTCTTGGTGGAAACGTTTAAAGTCACCCCGGTTGCACAAGAGAGTGCTGGTGTGCATCCATTTTGAAATTTCTCTAGATTAGAGTTCCAGACTCTGGCTGAGTCACTCCAGCATTTTCACACAGTCTTCCTACAGCGCCTCCAATAGCTATGCCAGGGAGTCCATCTGTTTTGGTTTGTCATGTGGACAAAATTGTTATTTTTCTGAAAAAATAATGCTTGTTTTGAGATGAGTGTAAACGCTTCAATGTAGAAGGCTTTTACCCAAACTGGACATATTTTTGGCTGTACTTTACATTGCAGTTATGTGACAGTGATGCATGTGTATCTGAATAAGCGCACATGTAAACAGTTTGAGCATGCTAGAGTGTTGTGTTATTAATCCACCCATGAGTTCATTAGGAAAGCCAGATGACAGATGAGAAGACTAATAGACACAAAATGCTTCCTGGCTGATAGATGGCCGGGCAAACAAAGTAAATGAGACTGCTACGACACTGTGTCTCTGCACATCTGACACCGAGGTTAGATGTGCAGTGTTCTAGCATACATTTAAGTATGCTTAGAAGTTAACATTTTAAGATGGAATAATCTGTCCAATAAAGTCAAATTCCAAGTTGCAGAAACTCTCACCACAAAATCTGGTTTCTGTAATTCTTCAGCTTTAGGTTCATAAGTATGGTCACCTCCATATTGAAATAAGCTGATTATGTGGTTCATGCATATAATACAGATCACCCTTCACATCCACATCAAGCACAACTGGAGGAGAATTGAAGCTGTAGATGGATGTACGGTTATCTCGGAACACACGGCGAAGTTAGAGCATTTTAAACAGCTCTTGGTATTAGTTGTACTAGAAGGTGTATAATTGGTTTCTGTCAGAAAATACAGTTGTTTCATTGTATAGAAATGCAGGCCTCTGAATAATAAGCAGGAGAAATAAATCACATTTTGGTAAACACATTTTTTTCTCTTAAATCGCTGTAAGCTCTGTGACTACTTATACATTGGTGTCGCCAACAAATCAAGGGTACTTTTTAATCCCCAGCAAAACAAAAGACCAAACCACCTAGATTTTTTGTCGAATGTTTACTTTTGTGCTAATCAACGGCCGCCTTATTCAGCACTCATGGCAATCAATGCGCCTTTGGGAGTCAGTGTACTAATGGACTTTTTCCTCAAAATCTTGCATGCATAACAAGAAATTAGAGTACAAGCACATGGAACCATAGACAAACCAGACAGACGGAAAGCTCAGGGATTCATTGTAATGCCAGTGTGACACAAGCACAAACAAATACATTGCACACATGGTTGAGCATACACACACACACACACACAATCACAAGGGGAGATCCAGATGGCTTATTTGTGCCAGTTCTGATTATGGTCTGATTGCTGGCTTCCAGAGAAGCTGGTGTTAGTTTGTGCCTGGAAGCTCTCTCGAAAGCGATCAGAGGGTCTGCTCATACTAATTCCTCTCCCCGATCACCTCCAGACACAGTTGCCACGGGTGCGCACAAGGTTAAAGTACTGTTAACCCAGTGTAAAGTGAGCAATGTCAAATTCTGTTCTTCATTTCTCCTGAGACGATTGGAAAGTGGTTAAATTGTTCATTTGTTTGCAGAACTAATTTATGCTGCACATGTGCCCCTCTCAGATGGACGCGATGCACTGGAAGACGGGTGACCAGTCCCTGCCAGCTTCCGTGTGCAGCTTGCCGTGTCGGACAGGCCAAAGAAAGAAGGTGGTAAAAGGAGTGCCGTGCTGCTGGCACTGCGAAAGCTGTGAAGGATACCACTACCAGGTAGGTCTCCAAAGAAAACCACCAGCTTTCAAGATGCAGTAGTAAAAACCAAAGAATGATGCATTTGATGCTGCATCATTCAACTTGCAGCATGCAAAAAGACCAATAACCTTTTCTCCCCACCGTCTTTCTAACATTAGACTTAAATGGCCACTCAAAAACACGGATTTTCTTGCCCACAGATTTTGTTGCTTTTGGTGTAATGGCATCTTCCTCAGTAAAGCACCTTCTCCATTGTCAAGTCTCACTCTAACCAGTGTTTGTTTCGGTTCAAGCCAAGTTGGGCGTGTTTTCATAGGCAGTGTGGTCCTCAATATGTCGGCGGGAATGTGGGCACTGTCGTCGCGCCATGATTTTGTGTGTGTGTACCATTGGGCGAGCAGTTTCTCCAACATCAGTACATTTGTTCGTTGAGGATTATCCCATCCATCTTCAGCCAACATCTTCACAAAGTCTTTTGCTTTCTGTGGGTTGATATGCAAATTGCTCACTAAAACACATTCACACTTGGGTGGGAGAAACCATTTCTATGTCCTAAGCTGTTCCCATTGTGTGTGTTTGAGTATAAATGTCTGAACAGATGATCTTGGCAACCTCAGGTATCTCCTATTTGAAGCGCAGCCCTAGTTGTATCTCATATGATTTCTTTAGATGTTCTCATGTCACACAGGAACGTGGTTTGTTTATGAAGTGAAATCATATTGATTTCACTTCCCCAAATTGTTTGTGGCCATTGTTCTCTTAGTATTTTCTAAAGAAATAAAAACATTAGTTGAAGAAAATCTCATCATTGTGACATTTTGAAAAGCAAAGCTGATTTTGGTAATCCTGACCTAAAAAGTTTAGCTTTTACTATAAATTAAAGGAAAAATCTTTTTTCCCTGACTATATTATGAGGCAAAAAAAGAGAGTCTTGCCTGTTTTTATGAAGTGAATGTGAATTAGTTTTGACTGTTTGTTTCTGAAATAAAATAAATGTGCTTGCCATATTTCTGATCATTTAAAACCAAAATGAAATTTTCAAATCCGAAATGCTCTGGATGTTCTTTCACAGCCTGTTCATAGCTTTTTTCCAATTGGATGAACAACAGTAGGAACCTACCTTTGTCTGATTTCCAATTTAAAAGTGTAATCTGGAAGTCTTAACCGAGCCTTTTTTTTTTTTTATTTTGGAAGACCCCGTGTTTTTCTCTACCCCAGAAGAAGTTATTATCTCTGCTTTTTACTTTAGTGGCTCATTATAAATGTATATATGCAGAAAGAACCCCACGGATGCTCTTAACGCAAATGTAAATATGTGATATGAGATGAGGCAAAGGGTCTGATCACACATTATGAAGATACATCTTCTGTGATAATTATATCTTAGAGACAATTTAGGATCCTATCATCCTTCTTATTATGTTTCAGAATTACAGGAGCAGGCAAAGTGATTCCCGCTCAGGAAGCAATAAAGGCAGCAAAAATATTAGTCAGAGCAGCAGCTTGCTAATATGAGACTGAACACTCAATCCATATTTTACACATTCATTCATGGGCTGTAAAATCAATGATCTGTTGATGTGAAGAAGTGTTATAATAGAGCAAAAGCTCAAAGATGTGTGAATTGTTCCCTTGACAAGTGCATGGCTACACAGCTACACAATCGGCATGTCTTCTCTATGTGGCAGATACCTAAATTGTTGGGATGATTTAAAACAAAACCAATTCATTTTTGCATTCATGTGGAATGTACAGACTTTAGTGTAGCTGTGTTGGAATAAAATCAGAGCAGTTATGGCAAAAAGCAATTTTCCAAAGTGTGTTTATTCTACAGATTTTGTGTTCGGACCATTTCCACCGATTTGTCTCGATTGAGCTACTGAAAGCATGACAAAAAATGTTTCCTCAATCTTCAAGTGCAGACTTTGAACATGTGCTTCAGAAAACTCAGAGGCTTTTTTTGTTTTAGCCATTCAGAGGTGGACATGTTGGTGTTTTATTGTCCTGCTGAATAACACAAGCATACCTGATCTTAAGCTTAATTCACCTTCATGTTATTCATGCCTGAGAGAAGAATTTATAGTTTCAATAATTATGGCAAGTCAACCAGGTCCCAACGCAGCTAAGCTTTGAAGACTATTGCTCTGCCACCTCCATGTTGGTATTATATTTTTTCTTAAATGGTGTTAATTTCATAGAGGATATTATCAGCATTGCATGTTTGTTTTGTTAGTCCACAGAATATTTCCCAAAGAGTCTTTGGGATCATCAAGATATTTCTAGCAATTGTGAAACATTCTATGGTAAATGAATCCTTTTTGGTCAGCAAAGAGATTTTCATCCTTAAACAGTTTTTTCGCTGTATATTTCTTATTGTGGAATCACAAATCCTGACTTTAAATGAGTTCAGTGAGAGTCCTTCTGTTGTTTAACTTGTTCTAGGTCCTTTAGTGACCTGGATGAATCATTGGATTGGATTGTGTTGTATGAATTGTTCTACAGAGCAGTGGTAATTGGACAGGGCCATACAAAAGAAGTAGACATAACACTAATTATTGCTTAAAAGAATAACAAAGGTTAAAGTCAAAATCAAATCTTAAAGTAACTTTAAGATGCTTCCACCCAGCTATTTGGTTTATAGATGTCAGGGCAAACAGAACCATCCCTTAGAAATAGAATTAGGACAGAAATAACAGAGCAAAATGGTTTTAACACATCGTTTCTACTCATTCCTCAGGCCTCGGAGTTCACATGCGAGCTGTGTCCCTACGAGATGCGACCAGATACAAACCGAACAGGGTGCGTTCCGATTCCTATCATCAAGCTCGAGTGGCACTCCCCCTGGGCCGTCGTCCCCGTCTTCATCTCCATGTTGGGCATTATCGCCACCTCCTTCGTCATCGTCACTTTTGTGCGGTACAACGACACGCCCATCGTCCGCGCATCCGGCCGGGAGATGAGTTACGTGCTCCTGACTGGAATCTTCCTGTGCTACGCCATCACCTTCCTAATGATTGCGACGCCGGACGTGGGCGTGTGCTCACTGCGGAGGATTTTTCTCGGCCTGGGCATGTGCTTCAGCTACGCCGCACTGCTCACGAAGACCAACAGGATACACCGCATCTTTGAACAAGGGAAAAAGTCTGTTACAGCACCCAGGTAAAAACAAGTACATTGATATTTTCTATCCATTACTTTGGATGTTTGCATGTTCCACATGTAGATCTTGTAACTTTGAATGAAGATTTGGGGTTTTTTTATGCAGAAAGTAGCATGCAGTCGCATATGCACTTAACCTTTACTCTCTATTATCAGGGTACTTGTAATCTTTACTCATTTTATTTTTTAGATAATATTTGAATGAGTAATGAGCTCAGCCTCATCATTTTGTAGGTGGTCTGAAGGATGCTTCATCTAAGTGAGTAAAATGTTAAAGCAGGATTTAGTTTGCTCTAATTCTCATATTTGCTACGCAGATGATGGGTTTCTTAATTTCTACCACCCATCTTAGGGGTCTTAAAAATCTTTATGATGCATTGTGAGGCAGTCATGGAAGACATTCCTTTTTATTTGCATGCGGGACCAGGACAATATCAAACGAGAGGGCGTTCCACTAGGGGAGGAATTACATTCCTCTGTTTCTGGGCATGTTGACTCAAAAAAGGGTCCGATCGATCCTTGAACTTCTGAATCAGAAGGATCAATTCTTGGCTGTAGACCAGTGGACCAGATCTTTCTTTGCAGAGTTGCTAAGGGAGTGATACTTAAGTATTTCAGTGTCTGCTCCTGTACACCAAAGGAAGGGATAGGGGTGGTTTGGGAATCTGATCAAGGTCCTCCTTGGCACACTTTGTTGAAAGTTTTCTGTACACATTCCTCCCGGAGAAAGGCCTGGCTGGGACAGACTCAAAATTTACTGGATGGATTATGTAGTTCTTCAAGCGTGGCACAAGAAAGGACGACTTGATAGACTTAGACCAGCCTGTTTCTTTCTCTGCAGGTTCATCTCCCCTGCCTCGCAGCTTGTCATCACCTTCTCTCTGATCTCGGTTCAGCTTCTTGGGGTGTTCCTCTGGTTCGCTGTGGACCCTCCCCACATTGTAGTGGACTACGGAGAGCAACGGACCCAGGACCCCATGTCGGCCCGCGGAGTCCTCAAATGCGATATCTCCGACCTGTCTCTCATCTGTTCCTTGGGTTACTCCATTCTGCTCATGGTGACATGCACAGTTTATGCCATAAAGACACGAGGCGTGCCCGAAACCTTCAACGAGGCCAAGCCCATTGGATTTACCATGTATACCACGTGTATCATCTGGCTGGCATTCATCCCCATATTCTTTGGCACATCACAGTCTGCTGAAAGGGTGAGTATGCTCTACTATTACATTATGTGGATATGAGATGCCAGACTAGGGGCCGTAGAGGTGGTAGTACTGCTGCCTTGCAGCAAGAAAGTCCTAGTTTTGAGTCCCAGTCTGGAGTCTTTCTGCACTGAGTTTTCTGGAGGTGCTTTGACTTCTTCTCTGAGTCCGAAAACATGATGGCTAGGTTAACTGGTCTCTCTAAATTGACCATAGAATTTAGAGAGAATTTCTGACCACTCGGTTGGTTGTCTTGAGCCTCTGTTACCTTGAGATGGACTGACAGCCTCTCAAGGTTGTGCTCCATCTTTCTCTTAACGACTGCAGGAAATAGTGACCAGCCCCCCAATGACTGTGTGTGGATAGGATGGATCAACTCTAAAGATTTCTCTGTAGATCATAGTATTGTTACAAATGGATCACTGTTATTACTTTGCCATATCAGAAGATTTATATCACCATTTTATCTTTTAACTGTAATTCTTTAGCTGCTTGGAATCCCTTTTTAGGGATACATTAGCATGTAGCAGGTGTCGTAGCACATGTCTTAGATCCCAGTTTTCAAACTTTTGAGATGAAAAGCCCCTGCTCTTGATTTTTAATGGGCAGATGCATCAATTAGCTTCGGCAATATCACTGGCTTAGAACCAACATCTCCTTACAGCCACTTGTTTGTATAAGAGGATTTTCTGACTCCTGATTAACTGGAGCTAAGCCCATACTTCAGTTTTCCATAGGGCTGTAGCACAGACTTAATTAGTAATGTATTTTTTTCTTTTTTTCTTTTTTTGCAAATATAATGGCTGTGAAATGTAAATTGGCAAGGTCAATGACTGAGTAAGTTTGCATCTTCTGACTGACTTGTACAGTCAAAAGCACTTTGGTTGCCTTTAGTTTTTAAATACGTTTTTACAGATGTACAAATGAATGAATAAACGTACATGTAAGGTTTAAAAATTTTACCTAGTCTCCCTCGGAGTGTTTTGATTTATGCACAGACTCTGAAAGTGTGGATTCCAAGGTTTCCAACAGTATAAATAATATCAAACACAGTAGTTTAAATAATAGAGTGTTGGCACTATGCAAAGAAGATCAGAGAGAAAACAGCCCTCAAAGTTTTAAAAGTATTGTCCCCAAAGCTGATGAACTACTTGGGAAGGTGTGCAGAACAAAACGTAGCTTTTGTCTGGCATATCTGGTTAGAAATATATATTTTTAGAAGTTTTCAGCTTTTGTTCTATTCTCCATGAGCAATAATTCTGAGATTTTGTCTTGCGAGCCCTGAATTTAGTGCTTAAATTAATTAACCACGTGTTCCTTTCAAACGTTCACCTTATTTGCTGAAACCAGCAACAAGAGTGTGTGACTATCCAATAAGCCCAGTATGTTGGTTAGCTGTGAAACATTCCCCCACACCTAGAAACACCTCAGATTTACTCTGTAAACAGCTGAATTCAAACACAAAGTTCACCATTGTAAAACCTCTGAAACTCATATTTAAACCACGGTCTGGTTTCACTATCAATTCAACTAGTATATTTTGCAAAGAAAACCTGAAAATCTCCCTACAGAAATAGTTGATTTTTATCTTATTTTTCCTCTCTCCATTTCTGCCCTGGTGACTTGTTTCTATTTTTTCCTCTAAGCTTTCACGGAATCTGAATTTTTGTCTGCAGAGGAAGACTGATCTGAAAATCTATAGTTGCAATTCGAGAACTTCTACAACAGTCGTATAAACAATTTCCAGTTTAAGCCTACAGATTTTAAATGCCTGAATTGTTTTATAGGCAGCAGGGAGAAACTCGCTAAATCAAGTGATGTTTGTTTCTACATATAGGCTGTTGTTCACAGCCACAGTTTTAGAATTATCTGTGACCTCTCAACACTCTGTTTGCACCTTACTGTATTTTACTGAATTGGTTGACTTGGTTTTTGTTTATAGAAAAAAAAAAGCCATGAGACATTCTGTAATAGGATTCCAGCCACAATTCAAAAGCCAAACTACACAGTAAAGAAAATTCATATAGACCAACATGCACATACACAATACTTGAGTGTCTCTTTACACACCTGAATACCTAAAATGAAAAGAAGACGCAAACAATGCATATTTGATTTCTCTGACTTACTTAACCGACTTAATTCCATAGTTTCAGAGGCAGCCACAGAAACTGACACGCCGTAAATGTCGATACAGCTAAGTTGATTTATAGCAGCTCACACGCAGCAAGCTGTTATTTGTTTCTGAATCTGGAGCTGCAGTGTGTTATTGATTCTATTCCTTGATGGTGTGACTGTTCTGGCTTTAACAATAAAACACTTCATGTGCTCATCGAGATTCATGGAAGGACATTGATTGCAGCTGTCATTTGTTTTGCTTCACAAAACAGAGCATATATGCATTTGTGAAGTAAATGGGTGTTTATTTTGGACGTAAACAAACTGGTGTGCAGCTGTAGTTGTAAATAGGTTTGCTGCACTCTGGGTGTTTCGCAGACCTTGTGTGACGTCAATGTAAAGAATTTCTTAAAGCTGTTTTTGAAACACGGGTTAAGTCTGTTCTGCGTGTTTTGGGTATTTCCTTGCTGGGTGATTGACATTTTCAGCTGCAAGTGTTTTGGCGTAATATTTCTTCCAGCTTTACGCACACGATGATTAAGGCTACTTTCACACCGCAGTACTTTTTGAAGTTCCTGCTCCACACAGCCCTGTGTGTCTTGGTTTCTGTGATGATGTGATTAGTAATGTTCTTTAAGAAATCTGAGACCTTACAGTCTCTGTGGAGAAATATGTGATTCTTACCTATGGAAATATGCTACATAAATAAAGTTTACTTACTTCACAGAACAGCTATATCGTACTGAATTTACATACCAATTTGACTCAATTTATTAGGTGACTTCTGAGAACCATTCGGACTGATAAATTTCTTCAGAGGGCAATATTAGCTCAGTATTGTTTTGGTGTATCAAAGTAAAGCGGGTTGAATACAAATACAAGTCACACACATACACAATTTTTCTTCCGCTTTACATTCTTTCATTACATCACATAAAATCACAACAAAATGGAAGTTTGTGGTTGACTCATCCTCATGAATTTTCAGTTCATTCCTCAAAAAATTAGATGTCGACCCTTATCTCTCGTTGTTTTGCAGTGTCAGTCAGGCAATTTTTTTATTCTTCCTTTTTTGTTTCTCTCCCTTTTACGACTGAGCCTGTTTTCCTTTCAAACAGCGTACCACTCTTAGTCATGTGGAAAACAGCTCACATCAAAGTGATCCAGTCTAATCACACATTGGGGAAATCAAACTTTCACAGTATTTTTTTCCCCCCCTTTTGCTTGGTTTAGCTCTTTACCAAAGGATCCGGCGTGTTTCGGGGAAACTATTATTGCAGGAAGTTCGAAGTGAATCTCTGAGTTGTTTCTTTTTTTTTTTTTTTTTTTCCCCTGTAGCGCACCACAGCGCTTGTTCTCACGTTCCCACGTCCACACAATAAGGTCTGACGAGTAAAACCAGACAATAAGGTCACTCGCTTGCTTTGCCGACATGGAAGCTTCACTTGGCTAATGGTTTCAAACGGCTCTTCTTATTGCTGCTCACAGCTTCTTTAACCTTTAAACCACTGATTGTGAATGACTGATTGTGAATACTGACTTTCTGTATCATTTCTTGGTTTTTGCCTTTTATGGTTGCCGCATCATCGCTACAGATGATGTGTGTGTGTGTTTGCGTCCACATTATGCACCGCGTCTCACTGGAGTGGCTGAATGGCGTCCAAGCCATGTTTGCTCCGTTAATTAGCATGTCCACCAGCAACTTCATGTGCATCTGCGGCAAAATGTGTTTGCGTTGTGTGTTGGATTTAATTGGAATTTCCAGTGCCACACGTTTGCACGTCTCTGTGTGTTGTTTCTAATTGGAATATCCTCTGGAGTGTGTGGCAGCTGGCTGGCTAACAGAGAGAGCAGAAGAGAGGGAGGAGAGAGGAGTGAAAGGAGTAAACAGGTAATGATGTGACTTGCTGATGGGGCTTTAATGAGGAGAGCTCTACCAAGTGAATAAGTTTGTTTTCAGATAAAGGGGAGGAGAAATATGGCGACACTGAAATTTGGACGTTAAAAGAACAGACAGAGTCACATATTGATCAACTTTATGATCTGAAATACTCAGTGTAGTTTTGGCACTTGGTCACGGGTTCATCTGTGACAAGGATGCCGTGTTGGGTTAGTTGTGCCCTCTGAACGGTTTCATAGAGAGTCCTGTAAAAAATAATTGGCTCCCTTATGTTTTTCAGACCATCAAAGTTTTAATGCCAGGCGAAGATGACCTGTGTCAATGCAGAGTGCAGTGTGATGATGGTTTCGTTTATAAGGGAACGAAGCCTTCTAAATCAACCTGGCTCCATGTGGAAAAAGTAATTGCTCCCTAAACCTCATTACTGGTTTCGCCACGCTTAGCAGGATTAGCTGTCATCAAGATCTGGCAATACCTGACAATTAGTCCGGTGATTTTTTTGCCTGCTGCTGCCTGCAGAATCGTTTGAATTCAGCAACACTTAACAACATGCTTAGAGTCACTACATCTAAGTCTAGGCTTTGACTAGGCCACTGCAAAATATTTTTTGTTGTTGTTTTACTTGACGATGGACTTGTTTGCATTGAATAATTGTGTTCCTGCGTCATTGAATGAACTTTCTGTCTTTTCTGTGTATTTTCCTTTCGGCCATTCAAAGGTTGCTGGCTTGTGTTACCTCTTACTGTGATAAAAGAAAGTAGTTTCAAATAATAATAGTGATTTTGTATCTGTGTAATATCCTTGGAAGACCTCAAACATTCATATTGTGTCAATTGTAGCAAGGCATTCAAATGTAAAAGCTAAAACATAACGATGTTGGTGTCTGAAAAATCTTTTTTATTTGGAAAGTTTCTTTTTGTTCAGTTCTCACCATCCTTAGTTTAAGCGTTCTTGTCAGATATCGAGTCTCGCGTAGCTTCCAGGGGTGGTGTAACAGTACATGTGGTTATGCGTTCGTCTGCAAACCCTCTTACTG